GTGTCTTGAGGACCGGTGACCCAAGCGAAGGGTGTGCATTCAGCACCAGTGACACAGGCCCAGAGTGTGTCTTCTAGGCCAGACAACAAGGCCAATGGTGTGACTTGAGGGCCAGTGATCTAGGCCAAGAGTGTGTCTTCAGGGCCAAGCACCCAGGCCCAGGGTGCTAATTCAGGGCCAGTGACCCAGGCCAAGTGTGTGTCTTCAAGGCCATTAACTTTGATCCAAGGTGTGCCTTAAATACCAGTGGTCCAACGTCTATGGTGTGTATCAGGGCCAGTGAACCAGAACAAGTGTGTCTTCAGGCCATCTCAAATGGAAAGGAAGAAGTTAAATTATCTCCATTTGCAGATAACATAGTCCTATATACAGAAAAACCCCCCAAATCCACAATACAGTTAACTAAACCTCACAAGGGAACTCAGCAAAGTTGCAGGGTATAAGATCAATATGCAATAGCCAGTTGTATTTCTGTACACATGCAATGAACAGTCTGCAAAGGAAATTAAGAAAGCAATTCAATATGTAATAGCATTTAAAAGAATAAAATACACAGCAATAAACTTAACCAAGGTGGGGAAAGGCCTGTACACTGAAAACTACAAAGTATTGCTGAAATAAATTAAAGAAAACCTCCATAAATGGAAAGACATCCCTTGTTCATGGATAGAAAGACAATATTGTTAAGATGTCAATATTACTTGAAGTGGTCTGCAGAGTCAATGCAATCCCTATAAAATTCCAACAGCCTTTTTTGCAGAAATGAAAAAGATGATCCTCAAATTCATGTGGAATTGCAATGGGCCCTGAAAGGCCAAAACAACCTTGAAAAAGAACAAAGCTGGATGGCTCATCCTTCCTGTGTTTTTACACACTGAGCCTGTAAGAATTATCAATTTATTGCAATGAAGCTTGACGTGAGGAAACCAGCAAAGATCTTGAAGCTTTCTCATTACCAAAAGACTACAAATATTCTTGTAGACAAGTGAGTTACAGAAAATGCAGTTTCCCTAGACAAGTTATTAGTTTGTATAGCCCCAAAACTGTTACATTCCACAAGAGATTAAGTATTTGAAATTAAATATTTACAATCCAGATGACACAAAATGGCGCAAAATGGAATTTCTAGGGAATAAATTCTCCAAGTCATGAGGATAAGATCTAGAATGGGTATTAATGTCGACACAAAAGGACTTTGACCCAACTTGGGTTAAGATTTACTTTCTTACAGATTCAATGCAATTTCTGTCAAAATTCCAATGACTTTTTTTTGCAGAAGTAGAGAAGTCTATCCTCAAATTTATATGGAATGTCAAGGGACGCAGGAGACCCAAAACAATCTCAAAAAAGAACAAAGCTGAAAGTTTCAAACTTCCTCATTTCAGAAATTACTGCAAAGCTACAGTAATTGAAACAGTGCAGTACTGACAAAAAGACCAGTAAAACAGTGGAAGACAATGGACAGCCCAGAAATAAACCCTCGCATGTGGAGCCAAGTGAGTTTCAACAAGGGTGCCAAGACCACTAAGCAGGCGCAAGAACAGTCTTTTCAACAAATGGTGTTGAGAAAACTGGACATCCACAAATGAAAGAATGACACTGGACCCTAAAATATATTACATACAAAAATTAATTCCAAATGGATCAAAGACCTAACTGAAAGAGTTAAAACTATAAAAACTCTTAGAAGAAAGCTTAAGGGAAATTTTCATGATTTTTAATTTGGAAATAATTTCTGTTTATGACACCAAAACCACAGGCAACAAATGGGGGGAAAAAAGTAAACTAGACTACATCACAATTTAAAACTTCTGTGCATTGAGAGACACAATCAACAGAGTGAAAAGGTAACCCCTGGATTTGAAGAAAATATTTGGAAATTATGTATCTGCTAAGGAGTTAATACCCAGAATATATAAAGAATTCCTACAACTCAGTAACAACAAAAAACAACCCAATTTAAAAATGGGCAAAGACTTGAATAGACATTTCCCCAAAGAAGATATATAAGTGGCCAAAAACCACATGTAAAGGTGTTCAGTGTTACTGATTATTAGGTGAATGCAAATCAGAACCACAATAAGATACCACCTCATACCCATTAGGATGGCTACCATCACAAAAACAGAAAATAAGTCATGTTGGTGAGGATGCAGAGAAATTGGAATCCTTGTGCACTGTTGATGGGAACGTAAAATGATACAGCTGCTGTAGAAAACAGTATGGTGGTTTCTCAAAAAAAAACTTAGAATCAGCATATGATTCAGCAATTCCATTTTTGTGTATGTACCTAAAAGAATTGAAAGCAGAGATTCAAACAGATTTCTGTGCACTCATGTTTATAACATTATCCACAATAGTCAGAAGCTGAAAGAAACCCAACTGTCCATCAGTGGATGGATGGATAAACAAAATGTGATACTATATGTATAACGGAACATCATTCAGCCATAAAAAGGAACAAAATTCTGACACAGGCTACGACATAGATAAGCTTTGATGACATTTTTGTAAGTGAAATAAGTCAGCCCCTAAAGGACCGATGTTGCATGATTCCGTTATATGAGGTAGCTGATGTAGTCAGATTCATGGAGACAGTAGAATGGTGATCGCCAGAGCCTGAGGGCAGGCGAGAATGGAGAATACTGTTTAACAGGGACAGAGTTTCAGTTTTATGAGATGGACAGTTGTAGATGTGGATGGTGGTGATGGTGCACAACTATGTGAATGTATCTAATGTGAGCGAACTGTACAGTCAAAAATGGTTAAGATGATGCATTTTAGGCAGGAGGGTATATATGGTTCAGTGGCAGAGTGCGTGCTTAGCAAGCATGAGGTTCTGGCTTCAATCCCTAGTACCTCCACTAAAAATAAATAAATAAACCTAATTGCCTTCCCCTCATAAATAAATTTCATGTTATGTATATTTCACCACAATTTAAAAAAACCCAAAGATGTACATTCTTGGGATCTTTACATGCTCTACAAGTGTTTGCAAACTTTATCCTTGATTTCTTTTCCTACCTGAGTCAACAATCCTTATCTTCCCAAGTTTCTTGCTAATAAATGCTAATAAAAGACTCTAAATCTCTGGTATATGCTTGATTTTTTTTTGAGCCAGGCTAAATATAAGTTTATGGAACTTACTGAATATGTGATGTGTTGAATCAAAGAATGTACGGTTTACAGTTTTGATTCCATAGTATTTCTGGATAAACTCAGCAAACTTTGTAATGAATCTTCATTCATTGAAAGGCGTTCTCTTTAAGAATCAAACAAGACAGATACCTGCTCGCTCTGCTTCTATTCAGCGCTGTTGAAGCCCTTGCAATACAAAGAATACTGTTGTAAAAGAAAAGACGAATTATCCCTATTGATAGCTGTGATGGTGCACTTCAAAATGACCCCCAAAATACACAAAGTGTTAAAATTAAGGTGAAAACTTGTCAAAGTTGCTAGATTTAAGATCAATATGCAAAACTCAATAATTAAATTTATGTACATATAATAATAATATATAGGAAATACAATTTGTTAAAAACACTTATAATAGCAATTAAGAAAAAGTTATCTAGAACTATTGTCACTGAAGTTGATCTTCACCCTCTGTTTTTGGCCCAAATTTGCTACTTTGTGTTGGCTTTGGATGTGAGAAGGTCAGATGTCTACTTTCATGTCATTTCTTGGATACCTGAACCTATGTGTGACCACAAGACCGTGCAGGTTACCATTAGTAATACAGACAAAGCATGCTGTTAGACTTTATTGCTAAAATCTGTCTTTAATTTACGAATATAGGTGAGCATTCTGCATATAACTTGGAGGAAAAACTCTTAGGTTCTTCCCCTGTTGAAATGTTGGTTGTAATGTAACTGTGTATTTATTATCACAGGAGTAAAATTCCACAATCATTAATGATGATTATGAAAGTAGTTAATTTTATGCAGAAAAACAATGATACAGAGCTCCCAAATAGCTAAATAAGGGAAAAGACGGTAGGTTAATATGAATATTAAGAGAATGCATTAGTGAGATTGACTTAGGATGAACATTATAACATTTTTGAACTAAGAAATGTTCCTAAAACTTTTGCAATTATACAAGCACAAAGCTAAGGATTAGATCATGTAATTATTCTAGTTATCATAGAAGTGTTTGGCATACCAGCACTCATTACACTAAACAAAATAATCTTTAACCTGCATTTAATTTTCAGTTACTTAATTTCACTTAAAACATGAGATCTTTGAGGAAAATTATTGTTTGGTAATCCTTCACATCTCATGAAGATAAATTTAAAATATATTGTTATGTTTGCCACTTCAAATTTTCTCTAAGAAGAAAAGATCTAGCCAATAAAACATAAAAAACATGAAGATAAAAGTCTTAGAGAAGAAACTGGTATTCCTCAAAAACGTCTTGCTTTTCCCTGCATCTCATTTGGAAGTGAGGGCACTGCCAGCGGGCTGTTTGCGAGCTGTGGGAGCAGTCTAACAGTTGTTGGCTCTGAGAACTGACTGTTCCTGCATTACAGTATCAAACAAACTTTTTGTACTAAAATTTTATTATAAAATTGAAATATTTTTTCATAACATGAATTTCCTGATAAAATTTTATATTTATGCATGTGTTTCACAGATTTAGTTTTAGTTTACTTTATTTAGTTATCTGAAATCAGATTTTTCCATGGCTTTGGCCAAATATCTGTTTTGGCACTTGGTTATTCAGTATTTGGCAAAAATATGTATTTGACACACTTCTAGTAACTCTAAATATAATGAAAGAATTACTTGTAAGACCATTATGGAGAAAAAATTATTTGAAGATCTTTAAAGAATACCTTAAAGAAATATATTTATGAATAGGAAAACCCAAGTTTATACAGATTTTATTTTCCCCTATTGATATATAGACTCAATGCAATTTTTAATAAAAATCCCTAGAGGTGTTTTTGTGGAACTTGATGAGTTAACTATAAAATTTCTATGGAAAGGCAAAGAACCAAGAATAGCCAAGACACTCCTGAAGAGAACACAGTGGGAAACTTGCCAAATATCAAGACTTATGAAGCTATAGGGATCAATCCAGTGTGGTGGTTCTGGTTCGTGGATGGACCAATGGAACAGAAAGAGAGCTCAGAAACAAACCTGCACATATTTGCAATTTTCAGTGTTTATAGTTTGTGAATATGAATACCTATTGATAACTAGGATAAAAATATGAAATTACCTGAGTCATAAAAAAATGGAAATTTAATAGGCACATTAAAAAATATGCCTCAAGGAAAGAAGATGTCTAAAAATTAGCCCTCACTTTACCTTACCCCCCACATAATTGTGAGGTTGATTCTTGTTATAATGAATTTACCCTCTATGATTACCAGACCAGAAGCAAGTCTCGCGTTCACTCTTTAAGGAGTCCTAATAGCTATGTTACCAAAATACTGTAGTAAACAGGATCGACTGTCTTCTGCTGGGTGTTTTAAGTGAATGAGCTACCGGTAGGGATTATGAGTTTGTTCGGGCTCCCCTTAGCAACAGGACCAGGGCAGGGTTTGATGCTCAAGTTAGGCAAAGCAACCTTTTCAACAAAGAGAGTCGAAGCTTTAAAAACCCCAGAAACCTGGCGACTCATCACATCACTCCAGCCCTGTGGGATCTCTGGGAGGTGAATCTCGAGAGAGCACAGAGTTCACGTCTTGGTCTGTGATCCTATTTTTCAAAACCCATCCTGTCCTCTTCTGTACGTGTTCCGCGTGCAGACGTCTCACCCCACTCGGTGGACTGCTTGTCTGCACCTGGCTTTGCCACCGCCCTCCTGGCAGGCACAGCACTTCTCTCTCTTCCCTCAAGCACCGCTGTTTCTTTTGCACACATTGCAATGTCTAGGGTGGTGTTAGCACTGGGATAGGGTCGACAGAGTTCTGAGGAAGAGGAAGAGTTGGAGGAAAAGACAGAAGTAGGGAAGGAAGGCAGGTGCAGAGGGGTGTGTGTGTATGAGTGACAGTCTCAAGGCTGCAGGGAAATGGGAGAAGACTTGTGATATAATATTAAATGAAAAAATCAGATTATAAAACAGTACATGCACCATCATTCTATTTTTGTAAGAAACAAACAGTGTGTATGCAGGTGCACTCACACACACACACACACACACGTACTCAGGACTCTACAGAAGGTCACGCACCACAACGATGGTTATTTTTTGTGGTGAGTGATTTCTATTTTCATTTTTGTGTCTACTTGTAATTTCAAATTTTCTAAAATGAACATGTGTCATTTTTATAATTAAGAAAAAATTATTTTTAAATATAAAACCAAATTTTCCACTTCTGGCTGTAAGGGAGTAACAAAGTCAGTCTTAATCTTTCCACTGAATATTGGACATAATATGTTAAACAAACCATCTGCAAAATAGCCACGGGACATAAAGTTGTCTTTAGATGTTAAACAACAGGCAGTGAAAGACTGTGATCCCTAAGAGAAGGGAACCAGCAGGGATGGGCCCTTCAAGCAGCCTCGATCTCGGCCTGGAGGCACCTCGCGATCTTGGCACAGGTAGGGAAATAGGGACAGGTGGTTTCGTGGAGTTGAGGAGGCCGAGGCCGGACCCTGGGGAGGCTGAGGCAGTTAAAATCTGTGGGGCAGGGTACTGAAGAGGGGGAAGGAAGTCTTGCAGGCAAAGAGCTCAGAAATCTGCATAGGGATTCTCTTGAGTCTTCAGTTGGAAACCATTTGCTCACAATCAAGGAAAATCTCCTTGGTTTGCAAGAGCAAGTCCCAGGGAAAGGAGAGGAGCCGGGAGCTACAAGCAGAGCAATTTCCAGAGCTCACACAGGGCTAGGAAGTGTTCATACTCCCTACACCCAGACCTGGAGGAATACAGGGGCAATCAGTAACTCCTCAGTAGTGAGGCTAAAGCAACTCTTTAAAAAAGCCTAACCTGTCTTAAAAGAGCTTTGAAACAAACCTTAAAAGAACAAAGCAGAACTGGAAATAGCTTCCATACTCTTGAAAAGTATACAACAAAATGTAGTATTTACAGTCTAAAATTCACAATGACTGGCATCACTAATGCAAGAAAGTGTGAAATATGAGCAGACGAAAAATCAGTCAATAGTAACAGACCTAGAAATAATGGAGATTTTTCAGAATGAAAGAGGTCAGAATTTATCCTCAAAAGGGCCACACGTAAGTCCTCACCGAGACTTTCTAATGATGCACTTTTCCAAGTCCTGAGATGCACTTGCAGTGAGAAAGGCACAGAGAGGGACATGGAGAATTTAGAGCCTCTTTCATAACCATGTCAAAGTCAAAAGTCGGAATTTCATCTGAGATTTTTGTACCTCCCTTCCTTTCCCTGTAACGCGGACATTTCTTTTTTAAATTTCTTAAAGATACCATCGTAGTAGGAGCACTTAACACTGGATCTACCTTCTTAGGTCTCAAGTGTTCAACCCCGTGCTGTTACCAGCGTTTCTTATAGATTAGGATTGGAAACCGATCAAACTCTCTCTCACTGTGGAAGGCATCCTCTGACATGTGCGTGTGCATTCTGAACAGTCCTCCTGGTGGCTGGCTGGGGGGTTGCTGTGGAAAGAGAGAGGCAGAGAAACGGAGGGGGCTGCCCCAGGACCCTGACTGGCTGCCCACCCCCGTGGGTTACAGGCACCTGAGACGCAAGTCTCCTGGCAGCTCCACAGGCCCTGATCCACGCCAAACATGCTCTGCCCAGGTGTCAGGTGACCAGCAGCCCTGGGCTCTGCTGCAGACGCGAGGACCAACAAAGCCCTCCTCTTGGGGCAGGCGTGGCCACGTGAGGCACCTGCCTGGGGCTCTGGCCAACCTCACCTGGCGCCTGTCCTCACATACGTGAGCAGGGAAGGAAGACGCTGGGAGACTGCACTGGAGGGGTGGCAGGCCCTGGCCCTGTTATGGGAGAGGAGGGGCTGGGTGAAAGACTCTGGGGCCAGGACGCAGGGACCGCAGGGGATACAGCCAAGAGGAGGTGGGATGGGCTGTCCACCTAAAACATGAGGTGGTACAAAGAGAGGGACACTGTGATCTGTCTCAATAATAATTTTTATATCACCAGAAATTGACACATTGTAACTGACTATACTTCAATTAAAAATATAATAATTTTATACTGATTTCATGTTGAAACGATATCGTGGATATAGTATTTAAATATTATTACAGTGAATTTTACCTGCTTCTTTTGACTTCCTAAATGTGGACACGCGGACATTTTGAGAGCCTAGAGAACAGGCACCCGTCTGTGTCCACGCACCAGGCTGCAAAAGAGGATGCAGGCTGACTGGTGATTAAAGGCTGCAGCAGCCTGGGCAGCCCTGGGCCCTGTGCCAGGTGTGCTCAGGTGACTGTGAGCCAGGTGACCTGAGAACATCCCCTGGGGCCTGTCAGGTGGAAACAGAGGTGGATCAGCCTGCTCAGGTGACACAATCTCTGAAAAGATCCTGAACCTGGCGAGATTTAATAAAGGGACACAGGCCAGTTTCCACACAGAGTTGGCCCAGACAGCACAGACGTGGGGAGGACGGTGCAGCTCCTGTGACAGGTAAGAACCTGGGGCTCATGGCGCAGTAGCCGAAATATCATATTTGCTGCTCTTTCACTCCTTCGACCACCAGTTGCTGGGCCCCTGACTGCGTGGGGGTCAGGAGTGACAGGCCTGGGCCTGGCTCTCAGCAAAGACAGCACGTGGAGGTGGGTAAGGAAAGTGGTGCAGGAGGGGACAGAGAGGGAGGACGGGCTGGGGTGGCTCTGAGTGGGGGGGAAGCTGCGGGACCAGCTGGGGCTGAGGGAAGGGGAGAGGCTGGGAAGGGAGCTCCCAGGAGTGGGGCATACCCTCTGTGCTGTTGGGTGGTGAGCTATGTAGGTGGAGGGCAGGCTGGCCCAGAGCAACCCTCAGGAATCGGTGTTTCTCCAAAAACCCATCCAGAAGTGGCAGGAGACCTAGACAAGCAGTTCTCCAGTGAAGACATACAAATGGCCAATAGACACAAGAAAAAATGCTCAGTATCGCTAATTATCAGAGAAATGCAAATCAAAACTACAGTGAGGTGTCATCCCACATCAGACAGAATGGCCATCATCGAAAAGTCCATGAATGATAAATGCTGAAGAGGGTGTGGAGAAATGGGAACCCTCCTACTCTGCTGGTGGGAATGCATTTTGGTGCAGACATTGTGGAAAACAGTATGGAGATTCCTCAACAAACTCAAAGTAGACTTACTTTATGATCCAAACCCCACTCTGGGGCATGTATCTGGAGGGAACTCTAATTAGTAAAAATACATGTACCCAAATATTCACAGCAGCACTATTTACAATAGCTAAGACATGGAAACAACCTAAATGTCCATCGACAGATGACTGATTAAAGAAGTTGTGGTATATTTATACAGTGGAATACTACTCAGCCATAAAAAAGAATAGAATAGTCTTTTGCAGCAACATGGATGGACCTAGAGATCATCATCGTAAGTGAAGTAAGGCAAAAAGAGAAAGAAAAATACCATATGATACTACTCATATATGGAATCTAAAAAAAGAAAAAAGAGGACACTAATGAACTCATCTACAAAACAAACAGACTCGCAGGCATAGTAAACAATCTTATGGTTACCTAGGAAAGGGGGTGGGAAGGGATATATTTGGAAGTTTGAGATTTGCTAATATTAGCCACTATATATAAAAATAGATTTAGAAAAAAACAGATTTCTTCTGTAGAGCACAGGGAACTATATTCAATATAATAACCTTTAATGAAAAAGAATATGATAACGAATATATGTACGTATATGCATGACTGGGATGTTGTGCTGCACACCAGAAACTGACACATTGTACCTGACTGTACTTTAATTAAAAATAAATAAAATAATAATAAAAAATTACTCTTAAATAAGAGCCAACCTCTTAGAGACTCACATGTGAATTTTCTCCAAAAAGAAGTCAAGAACTTGTAACGTTCTATTTTCAAAATTCAGATCATTTCCAAATGCTTGTAAAAGAAAAGAAACCGCTTTTCTATCATGCCTAATAAAATAAAGCTAATTCACTAAGACTTTAACAACAACAACAAAGAAGAGTCTGTGTTTCTGTGAAGTGGGAGGCAGACGGAGGCCGAGCGCAGGGGCTGTGTGAGCTCTCCCGGGCGGCACCCAAGGGGCCTGCATCCCCACCGGGCAGGCGGCCCCTCGAGGCCCCTCACACTTGGTCTCTGTGACCTCAGGGCGCTGGCTTGCAAGTCCACCCCACCGCAGCTCAACCTACACTCAGGCCCAGCAGCAGGCGTCCCTGTGGGTCAGAGGTGACCACAGTGGGGCCGGAGGGCCTTCTCCAGGCGGCAGGGGCCTGGGGACCCTGGGGACCTAAGGCCCTGGATCCTGCCCCAGCCCCTCAGAAGGGACCAGAGGAGGGGCTTACAGCAGAGGAGGCTGAGACCGAGGTAGGCCCAGCCAGGCCAGCGGTGCGTCTGCGGCCAGAGGCTGGCCTCTCGTGGTGGCCGCGCCCGGCTGGAAGCGTTAGGCTGCTTTGATGGGGGAGGGCAGCTGCAGGCAAAGCAACGGGAAGCACACGACCTTCACGCCCTGCACCTGTGGCCGAGGCAGCCGAGGACTCAGGCATCGACATGGCTGGAGGCATGTATGTGTGATTTGGGTGGTTTCCTCGGTGGACAACAGCCCATCTGCCATCCCTTAATTTCAGAAGGTTGCTTTTTCCTCTGGGACCTAATTATTCATTTTTTTGGAAGTAGAACAGGGACTGTCTGACATCATGAGGGTTTGAGATACTGAAGTACGGAGGATGGAAGGGAAAAATGAATGGAGCTGTTGCTAAGTGGAGGAGTTACTGTTGCCCAGGTGGCGGGGCCAGTGAGGAGGAGGGAGGTGGGTTCTTTGACCTAAAGCAGAAGGCAGAGTCCCAGGTGCCCCAATCAGGCAGGAAGGGGGGAGGGGGAGGGAGAGGGGGAGGGGATAGAAGGGGAACCAGCCCCCTGCCTCCAGCCAGCCCACCTCAAACTCCACTGGGCTGGCCAATCACCTGGAGACCTGGCTAAACTGCAGATTCTTACCTGGCAGCTGGGGTGGGGCCTGAGAGTCTGCAAGCCTGACAACCCATCTTTAGACACTTGCTGGGGGCCCAAATCTAAACGATGAACCTGCCTGGGCAGATGGCAGGGGTGGCCCAACAACGGGTACGTTTCTTATCCACATGGGGCTCCCACATAAGCAAGTCTGAAGGTGGAGAGGAATAAAAATTAACTAGTCGCACAAACAAATGTAAAAGGTGATTGCACTAATCGTGTGAAAGAGCAGCACAGAAAGTAGAGAATTCCCTAGTCAAAGAAGTCAGAGAAGGCTTCCTGTAAGAAGCAACACTTGCAATGAAATCCAAAACCAGCAAAGAGGGTTACAAGCAGAGGAAACAGCAGTGCAAAGGCCCTGAGGTCAGGGAGCTCAGTGAGCTGAGACACAGAAGACAGGGAGGTTGGGGGTGGGGCATGGAGAACACAGGGAGGCCCTCAGGGCACTAAACAGGGTGGTGACAGCATCATGTTTAGTGCAGGAGGAGGGGGTGCTCAAGGCTCAGCAGCTGGTGGGGCCTCTTGGGACAAGAGCTGCTGAAATGAAACCCACTCACAGCAACTCCTGAGCCTGCAAGGCCCCCACCACGGGGCGGGCCTGAGGTCAGTTAGGGTTGGGGTTAGGGTTAGCGCTGTAAAGGAGGGCGGCAGACACTCCCCGCCCCGTTGCCCTTCCAGCTGCTGCCCTGACACATCTGGACCCCACGCCCCAGAGGCTACTGTGTCAGTCGACCCCCCCCGCCCAGTGCTGCGACGGCTTTGGATAGCCCACCTGTCACCCCTACCTGCAAGGCGGCCATGGGCACATTTCCAGAGCAGTGGTGGCCTCGTCCTCAGGTCCGTGTCCACCAGTGCCCGCTCGGTGCCCTCGGAGAGCGCGGGAGCGTCCAGTGTGGTGAGGGAGCCAGGACTCGGGAAGACCCTCTGCCCAACAGCTCCTGAGGCGCCTCGCACGTGGGCGTGAGGCCTGGCGGTAGTGCAGGCCGCTGGCGGGGCTTCAGTTTCCCGCCCACCTGTAACTGGGCCTGTCCCTCTGAAAACCCTGGTGAGGGCTCCAGGAGAGGCACCGGTGGGGCCTGAGGGTGTCTGCCCGGCCCGGGGCGCTCCTGTGGCGGAGGGGGCCTGTGAGCAGTTAGCCTGACCCTCTCACAGCCCTGAAGGATCGGTGCCCTTCCCCTGACTTGGGGGTTCAGTGGGAGGCCCCCCCAGGAGCAGGGCCCGGGCGCGCGGACCAGGAGCCCTACTTTCTGACGGCGAACCGGCCGGGGTTCAGCTCCTCAGAGGAGGGTCCGTGGTCCTGGCCCGGGTGCCCAGGCCCGTCAGGCCTGCAGAGCTGGGTCCCAGAAACACGCTCAGAGAGCTTCTGGCAGATTCCACCGCATCGTCAGTGAGAAGCCCTGGCCTGAAAGCAGCACTATGCCTCCAGCCTGATTCCAAGGCAGCCACGGTCAATGCAGCCCCGGCGACAAGCTCCTTCCCGGTGTCCCCGAAGCCAGAAAGCTGGGCCCTGCTCTCTGGGCCCCGCCCAGGGAAGCTCGCTCCTGGGGGGTTTACAAGGCAGGTGCTGAGCCTCCAGCAGCTCCTCTCCAGGCCAAGCAGGCGGCCAGCGAAGCACTCAGCCCACCAGCCTCTTCCGGGGGGCTGGAGGCCAGGGGCGCGCTCCCCCCTAGGAAGGGGCGCCCGTGGAGCAGGCCTCCTGGCACCGCAGGTGGACCTGCGGCTGGGGGTCTCAGGGCCGGTTTCTTCCCTCACTGTCCCCCTGACGTTTGTTCCTGTATTTATCTTCCAGGATGAGCCCGTGGCATTTCCCGAGCGTCCTGTGAAGACGTTGTCGGTGCACCCTCTTGTTGCCTTGACAGGAAGAGGAGGATAGTCTGACTGAGGCTGTGGAATGGCTGAGGCACAGAATGGGGGCCCTGCGGCCGGACGGCGTCTCCCTGGGCTGCAGGAGGGGCCCCCAGGCAGAGTTGTGGGTAACACCCCAGATTCCACCTCTGGGGACTCCCAGACCTGCCCACTCCAATCCAATAGCCGGATGAGGTTCCCGGGTCTGCCGGCCCCCTGCCCGTCTCCCCAGCGGGCTCTTCTGTGACCACCTCGCAAATGGCCCACATGCTCGTGGGGAGGCCCCAGCCTGAGTCACGCGCACGCAGACTCCCGTGTGGACACCGAGGGGAGAGAAGACAGACAGAAATGAGAGGGGCCAGAACCCCAGAAACGTAAGCATATTTGTTCTGGGCCTGGGATTTGCCCTGACTGCCTGGCCCAGGTGGCACCCTATCTCCGCATCAATCCAGAGGCATCACAGCCCCTGGCGGACGGAGGGCCTCCTGCAGACCAGCCAGCTGCCACACCCTCTGGGAAGCCCCTCCTAGCTGGGAGAAGTGAAGAGCTCTTCTCCTCCTGGGACAGGGCACCCTCCTACACTTGGACCTGCTGGGGCTTCCCTGCCCTTGCCTGGGTCGGGACCAGCCCAGACTTGGCATTGGACTCCTGAGCTGGGTCAGAGGAGCTTCCCAGTCCCCCGTGCAGGGAGGATGAGGCATTCCTCCTCCATAGCAGGGACGAACCTTCCAGATGCCTCCTAACCACTGACTCAGTGATCGGAAATGCTGTTTTTAGAGCCTCACCGAGGGCTCAGTGCCAGTAAATCAGACCTTCCACTACTGAAATATAATTTGCAGAAACGCTATTTCCCAGCAGGCAGGGCAGGAAGGGAAGGAGCCCATGCGGTGGGATGAGGCCTCTCACACAGGCCCTGTGACCCAGCCTCTCCCAGAGGTCAGTATACGAAGGAGAGTATACGAAGGAGAGTCCACACGGGGAGGGGGCCCAGGTCGGTACGGATCATGGGCTGGGCCTTTCGTGAGCGTCTGAAGGAAGCCATGGGCCAGGCCTGCTGGACTGTGGTGAGCAGAGCAGGTGGCCATGGTCAGCCACTGTCCTGAGCACCAGCTCAACACCCCAGGTGACGCCAGCACCCACCTGCCCTGACTTCCTCCTGCTCGGGCAGGTGCACCACCATCTTTCTTCTCCGACTGCTGCTTCATGGGGCTGTGGCTGCAGCTGGGCAGGGAAAGTACTGCTGTCCTGGGAGGAAAGCTAAGGGTCAAGCCCAGGATCTGAGTCCAGTTGAACGGGCTGCACTTAGAAGTCACACTCAGCTGAGGAGCACACACAGTGAGGGTTGTAGCGGCTATCCACAGCCGTGTAACAAATTATTATCTCCACATCCGGCTTAGGAGTCCCGGCGTGGCTTAGCCAGGGACACCATCTCTGTGACCTGATCTTGGAAGTGACCATCCTGCATAAACATTTCCCATGTTTACTTTCTACTCAGGACTCGGAAGAGTCACTGGTCCAGCCTGTGTGGGGAGCGGGGCTGCAGCACGAGATGCAGCAGTCGAACCCTGTTCCCCAGCACCAGCACAGACTCTTCACCACACTGAGGGGCTGACTTCCCCAAGCAGATGCTCGGCTAGCGGCTTCCCCATAGGGAAGCACTCAGATCGAGGGGGCTGGCAGCAGCCTTCCTGTTTCAGACAGATGTGCTGAGCCTGGATGGGAGAACAGGCCAACCAGAGTTGGGTGGAGCGGGGCATGGGGGGGCAATGCCTGCTGGGGTCCCCGTGGTGCAGGCAGGGTCCCAGCGTGCTGGGCGGAGGTGGGGGCTGGGCTCCCCACCATACTAGAGCTCAACTGTGGGCCCCACACCCCCAGGTTGCAGGGACAGCTGTGGGTCCCTAGGCCAGCCCCAGGCACCGTGGCCAGCACAGCATGGGGAACCCGCTGGGCTGCGGCCTCAGGGAGAGCTCAGCCCTTCCATGACAGGACGGTACGTTGGGCTGCAGCCCTGTCCCACCCCTGCTCGTCCAGCCTCGCTTCGCCGAGGACCAGGGACCATTCCCGCTGAGGCAGGAAGGGTAGGGGTACCGCCAGGCCTCACGATGGGGCATGACCCAGGACAGACCATTAGGAACACAGGCCAGACTCCCCACCCAGCATGCTCCTGACTTTCTCTGTCTCTGTCTCTGTCTCTCTCAGAGAATTAGTCTGTGTGGGAGGCGGGTTGAAGCTATGGGGCACAGGGCAGGAGGGGTGGCTGGGCCTTGGACTGGGTGGTCCTGGGGGAAAAGGTGCTCCTCATGGGGTGGGGAGGGGAGGGGAGGGGGGTAACCTGCTGGGGTTCCCCTCGCTCCTGATCTCCGCATTTTCATGCCATCTCCTTCAATGCTCTCAGATGACCCCACAGGTTGGTGCTATTTCCCTCATTTGTGAGGTGAGTAAAAGGGGGCTCAGAAAGGGTAGGTGACATGCCTAAGGTCACACAGCTATTAAACAATGGAGCAGAACTCGGACCTCCTTGAGACACTTGGGAGCTGGTGGACACCTGAGCCCCCAGAGCTGGGCACAGTCCAGGGCTTGTCCCTTGTAAGAGGGGCTGGGGCACCTGCAGCTTCGCTGTCCCTGCCTCAGCCAAGGAAAGCGGCTCCACGGCCTGACTCCATGTGCGGCTGTGAGCGCTCCACGCCCCGAGCGTTCTGGATGGGAGAGCCCAGGCCAGTGCCTTGTAGTGGGTCCTCAGCTCCAAGGGGCATCTGGCCT